TAAATTATCGATTTATATTCTATATATAATACAAAGGTTTCACATAATTTATATTCTATATATAATACAAAGGTTTCACATATTTTATCACATATTTTAAGAAAATATATTAAAAATCTATTATGGATCCATAAAATAGATTTTTAATATGTGTGAAAAAATTCAGAATGATAATTATTTTGAAACGGAGAGAGTATAAATTATCGATTTATATTCTATATATAATACAAAGGTTTCACATATTTTATCACGCTTTTTAAAAAATATTCTTGCAAAGAAACTAACTATTTACTATCGTTGAAAGTTTCTTGCAAATTTTGCATGAAATTTTTGCAAATTGTAAACAAAAAAAATTGCACATCAATAACGGGAAATTTTGTCGTGATTTTGTAATGAATTGGTAATAAAATTGTTACATTTATTCATCGTTATAAATGTATTGCAAATTTTTAACGAAAGCCAATGTTTTTTTTTTTTTTTAACTTACGAAAGCCAATGTTGCAAAAAATTATGTTGCAATAACACAATTTTCTTGTAAGTGGATCAACCTTCGTATAAGCAAGGGTGTATCCGAAGGCAACATTGTATTTCTAAACCTTATCTCAATAAGCTAACACACACCCTTCGCATATCATATATATACACTTTGTGGTACTCCTTATCCATGTTTATCCACAAGCATGCAGCTGGACTGATATATATATATATTTTTTTTTTTAACCAGGCACCTCCAAGTGTTCATGTGGTCTGCGAAAAAATCCTAAGAATAGAGATAGTGACATCTGAAATTGAAAATGGGTTAAACAAAGAGTTTTGTGTTATTCCTGGAATAGGTGAGTTTGGGGACCAATATTTTGGCACAGACGACGATTAGGCCATTGTGGTCCTGCATGATTACTTGTCCCTTCCATGTCTTGCACTGCAGTTTATTGATGCATTCACCATCCTATCCACTGCAACGGCTACAAACTATAACAGAAAATCACTTAACTTTATTTGTTTTCCCATTTAAATCCCCTCGAGTTCTTGGGACTGTTGATTTATTTATAAATGCCCCATTGAGGGGTCGATCAAACCCGATACTTCGGGAATCGGTATCCTACAACTCATGTGTACCATATATAGTAAAA